AAGCGGTGCCAAGGTGGTACCATGTCTTAAAATGATTGTCATATTGTGTATTACAATTGTGCCAGATGCCATGCTTTCATGACATAATGCAGAATACCTCGCTATGTGTGCACATAACTGCTTTACTGGAATAATTCAATGAATCCTATTTTACTAGGATCGATTTGAGAAGGCTTGAACGCAAATAATAATAAACACATCAGCTGCACTCTGTAACAGGTGATCAGTGAAACCTGTGATCTGTGGAATTTTGCAATCATAGCATCTGGTGTTAATTATTTTATACAAAATGGATGTTGACAAATCTATTAAGTTTATTCAAAAAAGAACAGAGTAATACGGGTTTAATTTCAAATACATGCAGGCAATTGTGTCAAATCTATATCAGACAACAAAGAATATTTTACAGTATTACCAAGATCATATGGGAAGACGAAAATTTACGATCGTTTTCTCGCGGTTTTGTTCACAATGTATTTGGGCTAATTGTTCGGGTGTGGTACATTTTCACCATTGATCTGAATGCAATGAAACATTAATATATTGATCGGAGGTAGGATGAATATAATGACTGAATTAAGTTCAATTATCTAAATCATGAGTAAAAGTTCATTAGCTGTTTGCTGATTGTATAATTTAAGTTACATTTGAAAGGTTAGAAACATTTCATTCACTCGTAGTCTAGTCTCATTTTCGGTTTCACCAATTACGTTGGACATACTAGAGGTTGGTACCATACCACATTTACTTAATGCATGCTGAACAATATTTGAACTGTCCTTAAACATAGGATTAGAGTGTTCCTTTAAACAGTCTTCCAGTCTTCTAACAGTCGATCCGACGTAAGCATCCCCCACATGTCAGACAGCAGAATTCATAAATAACATAAACCTGGAAAAACTTCTGAATTCTCAATAAAGGTCCAAACACACGATGAAGGTGAACTGTGGATAGATTCTGTTGATTATGGTGTTTAATTTTCTTTTAAAGATTTGTGGGTGTGAGCCTGTATATCGCAGAGAGATAATTACTTGTAGCTTTAGAAAATCATAGTTCAGTGACCCGGATAAATGTAGTTGTTGAGTGTTTCTAATGATGGTAGAATCAATAAAGCTATTCGGAAAGTAGTTAAGCTTTAAAACAGATTTTAATCCGAGTAACACTCGCTGTAATAGTTCCAGGAAACTGATGATATTGTTACGACAGCGGAAGTCATGTG